CGGGAACGGTTCGAGCTCTGCGCTCCGAGCACCGCCCGGTACAGGCAGAAAGAGTTCAGGCGTGTCCCGGTTTTAGCCAGGATGGAGTTAATGTTCTCAGTAGCTAGTGCAGTGTTTGGATTCAGAGTGATGATACTATTGTATCATCAGAGTGATGATAATATTGATACTGATGTTTTGGTTTTGCTAAGTTGTGTTTATCCTAAACCAAGGATATTTTCTTGCTTGTGTCTTATGCTCTGCCGGTGAGAAGATACACAAGAAAGTGGGAGGGAGCATAGCCGGGATAGGTGACCTGAACTAGCCAAAGGGATGTTCAACACCATGGCATGTCATGCCCAGGATATAGGCAGGAAGGGGCCGATCCGGGGAAAATTCGTCCCCGTTTGGTTGTGCTTTTGAATAATTAAAACCAAAGGCGTGATTGTTAATCATTCGCAGTACATGGCCCCAGAGGTATAGAGGTACCCGTAACACTGAGCATAACACCAATCTGGTGACTGTGGCTCCACGATGTATTCCTTTCTGAAACTGTTCCCTTAAAGACAGAAACACAGGGGTTTTGCGTGGTGGTTTTCTTGTTTGGTTTTTTTTCCTTTTTTTCTTTTGTATGAAACACTTCCATGCTTTTTCCGCAGAGCAGTCATTTGCTCTCTGACAGGGGATGGGCTTGGAAGGTGCAAAGCAACCTGCCAGCTCAGCTCACCCTGTTGGTGTTTTCCCCCCTGGAGATTGGTTACCAACAGGAGCAGTGTGGTGGATGTGCAGCGCTGGCTTGACAGACTCCTCTCTGTTTGCTGCAGGGTCTGAGTGAATATAAGAGAAGCTTCAGATGGACAACACCAGAGTTTGGTAGCACATCCCAACAGCAGAAATCCTTGCGGGCAGGACTTCGGTCAGATCAGTTTGGTAAGTGCCTCTGAGAGCTGAACCCTTGATTGAAACCAAGGCCCAGAAAGGTTTGGTGTGGTGAGTCTGTGGCCACAGTGAACTAGTGGTGGTTGCAGTTTGTGCACTTTGTACAGTTAAAAGTATATTCCTGGCCATCATTTAGAGTGTGTTTTTGAACACCATTTTCTCTCTGGCTACACTGAAACTTTTAAATTCATGCTATTGATATAAACCCTGGAAAAAAGTTGTTTCTGACATGTGGCATAAGCCAAGTCCCAAACATGAAACACAGGTGCAGTGTTAATCCATAAAGGGTGTTTTTTTTCCTTTTTTTTTTTTTGTATGAAACACTTCCACGCTTTTTCCGCAGAGCAGTCATTTGCTCTCTGACAGGGGTTGGGCTTGGAAGGTGCAAAGCAACCTGCCAGCTCAGCTCACCCTGTTGGTGTTTTCCCCCCTGGAGATTGGTTACCAACAGGAGCAGTGTGGTGGATGTGCAGCGCTGGCTTGACAGACTCCTCTCTGTTTGCTGCAGGGTCTGAGTGAATATAAGAGAAGCTTCAGATGGACAACACCAGAGTTTGGTAGCACATCCCAACAGCAGAAATCCTTGCGGGCAGGACTTCGGTCAGATCAGTTTGGTAAGTGCCTCTGAGAGCTGAACCCTTGATTGAAACCAAGGCCCAGAAAGGTTTGGTGTGGTGAGTCTGTGGCCACAGTGAACTAGTGGTGTTTGCAGTTTGTGCACTTTTGTACAGTTAAAAGTATATTCCTGGCCATCATTTAGAGTGTGTTTTTGAACACCATTTTCTCTCTGGCTACACTGAAACTTTTAAATTCATGCTATTGATATAAACCCTGGAAAAAAGTTGTTTCTGACATGTGGCATAAGCCAAGTCCCAAACATGAAACACAGGTGCAGTGTTAATCCATAAAGGGTGTGTAGGAGCTGGTATTGGGTTAGCTGTGGTGCATGGGAACAGTAAGAATTCCACATTTAAGAAGAGAATAATTTGGGGCAAAGTTTGATACATAGTAAAAGTTTGTATCAAAGACAAAAAAAACAAAACCAGAGACAGCTAACTGAAAGAAGAGGATGGATGAGCATTAAATGGAAAAGCTTGTGGCCCTCTAGTCTAGGAGTTAAGGACTGTAGGCATGGCAGGAAAATGTGGGGATAGGAAGTAGAAGACAAAGGAAATAGCATCTGGATTGAAAGGCCTGTGGGGAGTTGAGAAATAGGAGTAGGCTAAAGAGTGATGACAACTGTGGTGCTTTGAAAAAGAATAGTAAAAAATAGGATTTACTGTAGTGGCACAAGACAGGTTTAGAAAAAAACAGTACAGTTCAGTGCAACTGCACTATGCAGTCTGTGTAATTAGAGTACAGTGTATTTGTTCCTACAATGTGATAAGTGTTCAAAATTATGGCCTAGTAATTAAGAACTGACTACTGGGAGTAGCGTTTTTAGTCAAGATGCTACACATTTTAGTAAAGAATTTAATCTTGATAAAGATTATGCTTTATGTATATCACCCTATCTTCCATTACTGCAAAATATATGTTTCTTTAACCTTGCTTTCCATAACACATGGGTCTGTGTATGGGTTCCTGTATTGAGGACTATAGTTTTCAAGTGTTCTGAAACACTTGAACATGAAACATCTTGGCTTCTCTTTAAAATTGTAATCTGTGTTTATTTTCCAGTCAAACTAAACTGCAGATTTTACAAGACTTGCAATAACCTCATGAGTTAACTATGCATCAGTTTCTCCTCTTTCTCATGTTGTAAGGGTGGTTTTGTCTGTGCTTGCTGTAGTTTTTCTACATATTTGCGTCAATTTTCACTCTCATCTCTTTTCTGGCCATTTATTTTAAATGTCACTCTTGACGCCTTGTAGGACTTGCAGATTGTTACTGATAATTTACTTATGGTTCTTCCTGTTGAAACACATAGCTGGCAATTTTAAGAATCACTTGGAACATCACTGTAAAAAGTTGACAGCTGCAGGTGCTCAGAGTTCCTTCTGCCACTTTTCCAGTGTTTTTTCACTGAAATTACTTTCTGCCACCTATATGTGTAGTCAGGTATCCAAACATTTTGTATACTTGTCACCATAGGTTGTTCTTTATTTTACTGAAAGAGAGAGCAGTCTGTCTCTCTCTCCTAGGAAGTATTTCAGCCAACTAGGGGTTTTCACTTTTTTCCATCACACTTTGAAGCTGGATTATGATTTCCCACTTTAAATGTGTTCAGTCATTTAATACTATTTTTAAAATGGTGGGCTAATTTTTTTCTTATCTCTCTGTGTAAAGGCCAGCAGGTCTTCAAAATAATTTGATACCTGGTTTAGTTTGGAAATGTTTTTGTGTTTATGCTGTAAAAAGTCATCAGCTGTCTGAAATGTTCTTAAATCAGACAGATGGATGGGGATTTGTCACTGTCCTGCCACAATTGGTGAGAACCTGTTTAGCAAGGTGTGTTGTGCATATGTAATGAGAGCTGTTTGTAGCATAGTCTCTATTGCTGTGGGTCAGTTGTTCTGTATCTGCGTTAACCACATTCTCTTCACTGACTGTGCTAGTTTTGTTGTTCAGCTCCCAGAATCAACTTGCCCAGGATTGTCCTGTGAACATTTTTGCTTTATATGGTTTTATCCAACATGGTCCTGGAGCACCATATTCCCAGCTCTCTTTAATGGAAAGGAAAGGCATTGCAGATTGGAAAGAAGACAGAATTTCATAGCCATGCTCATAGTTTATAGGCTGTCATACTAAAACAGTGCCTTCTAATAATCAATTGTATGATAAACATTCCATTTATTCTTGTCATAGAGTGATACTATGCCTTCAATAGAATGTTTTTGTTAAACCTGATAATGTCTTTTTCAGGAATTGCAGGAGAACCAAACTTCATTTCCAAGAGAAGAGTACCTTACCATCATCCACAGATTTCAAAGTCCTTTGAATGGGCAGCAGATTGTGATTTGAATGATCTGCCTGAAACCAAAGCTGCAGAGTTGCACACAGATCACAACAACAATGATGTGAATCAGGAAAAAATTGAAATGCCAGAAGGACCCAGACCGTCCCCAGAAGTTAGGTTGCAGTTGGCAGATTCTAGCGGAGAAACAGCTCTTGGCCTTACAGAGAACAGCATGAAGAAATCACCCTCTAAAGCTCCAGCAAATCAGAATGAAGCAGTTTCATCTCCAAAAAAGGAGTTAAAAGAAATGAGTAACGGGGTAAGGGAATTTTTTTTTCAATTGACCAGTGTAAAAAATGACTAGCAGTAATTTCATGCACCTTCCCAGGCTCTCTTGTCTAATGTTTTCCTTAGCTGTGCATTTTGATACTCTATGTTGTAGTTTCTGTTTTGGAAGAACAGTTCTTTTGAGATCAGATTGTGGTGCTACTTAATTCAATAGGAATTTGCTCTTCATATGTCATCACTGTTGATTTCAATTAAACAAGGATTTAGCCAATAATATATAGACTTTTTGGAGTTGTTGACTGTAATGAGAAAATGTACTTTGCATTCATTTTATTCGGAAAACCAAAAACCAAACCATTGATTTGAAGGCATGCATTGAAAGATGTTCTACTTGCAAAACTCTGCAGGAAAGGGAACAATCATTGTTACTGTTTTTTTCTTTTTTATGTTGTCAGCTTCACAGAGACCTTCAGAGGAAAGCAGACATGAATATTTCGCATTTAAATGCTTCCCCCAGAAATTCTAAAGATCAAAGCCAATTTGTTGGGAAGAGTCCTCATGAAAAGTCACCGATACTTGCAGCTGAAGAGGTAACTGTAAAGAATCCAAAAAGTAAATTGATGCTTTTTTATGTGTCAGCAAAATTGGTTACCTTCCAAGATTTCATTTCTTCCTCTTTTGCAGAGATAATCAAACTTTAATGATTTCTTTTTTCTCTCTCACTATACAATATAGTGAGAGAATATACAATATATACAATATAATTGGATTTGCTTTGCTGTGATTCTTTACTGTGGTCAGGTGTAATTCTTTGTTCTCCTTAGGTCTGGTTGTATTTCATTATTTCTAACTTCTTCTGTTTGCATTACTTTACCAGTGTTATCACAGTTTCTTAGTCTCCATCTCTGTGCCTGTAAACTTTTAAGCCCTAAACTGCATATCTGTAGTGTTTTTTTCTTTCGTGAGAACAGCTTATACTTGAAAGTGGAGTCTTTTAAGATATTCTTGTGGCATTTTAATACATCTCATGAGCTTATGGGCTTTGGAGGATTGACAGTGCTATTTCTAGTCAGACCACAAAGTGTGTGACTGTCAGACTGCTGTGTGTTTTCAATTAACTGTTACTGGGATCAGGACTTAGGAGACTCAGTCTGTCTTTTGGTCATTTTGCAGTATGAAATAGGCACTTTTGCTTTTATTTTGTCTTCTGTTACTTCCCTGGAAGTATATACATTAATGGGGTTGCTACAGAGGGTATGCTCTCTCTTTTCACCCACTGGTAGCAGATTTGTTCAATAACAGCTTTCAGAGGCAATGAATGTGGATAACTAAGATCAATCACTAACCTGTCTTTTTATGTTTGGAGTGCCAAGCAGGTGGATTTACTGGAAGACACCTCTTTTTCAGCAGTCTTTTTTGCAAGGAAAACTCACTGAAGTGCATGACAGTAGTATAGAACCCAAAGGACCTTTTGAGCAAAAGGCAGGTCCCAGAAAGCCACCTTAGGGAAAATTTCAGAGAGAATTCCATTTGATTCTGTGTGAAATCAGCTTGATAATTTCATTACTGATGCTTGTGAACATACTATGTCAGAAGAAAGACTGTGAAATCTAAAATTGGAAACATTTTTCTCACAGCTTGTATAGCGTAATAAGCCATGAGAATAAGTCTGTAGGCACTACACATCCATAGCTAAATAGAACTCAGAGAAAATTTAATGATAAAAATTATACATATTAAACAAACTGATATTCTTTGCTGTAGATATAATGGAGAATATACCTGAATAATGAATAATAATACCTTTGCCTCGAAAAGATTCTGTGAAAATATCACAGTTATCCAAATTAGGTTGTAAGTCAGGCCTAAATTCTCATAGCAAAGCTATGGAAAATACAATTGTTGCATCTGGCTTGGTCTTTAAATTCAGCACCCTGGGATATGTGACCATCTATTTGGCAAATTCAGTACCTTGATTTATAATACTGTATTGATTGGGAAGTAGAATATAGCTTAATTTACCCAAGCTCTAAGCATCCAGTTCTAAAACACAAAGCAGTTGTCTTCTTATGGTCTGCACATGTACTGAGGACCCATAAGGAAGTTTTACAGCATGCATTTTAAAAAAGCATGATCCTACCTACAACTCAGAAGGTGAGCTGTCTTCCCAAATAAACAAACCCTCTTACTGAGTAAACTTCAGTAAGAACAGTGTTTGATCACAAGTTTAACTGTCTGATTCAGTCACATTTAAATGTTTTTATCAGGTTAAATTTCTCTTGAATTTGTCCTAGAAGTTCATTGCTCTGCACATGCTGTATTTGTACTCATGATGGTCTCTCTGTTCATACGTGAGTCTATTTGTGTGAATCAGTTAACTGATTTTGAAAATGTAGCCTTAAGGTAAACAAATTACACTTTAATCTTTGTTTTGTTTTCTTTCCACCCACCAAGGTTATTGGCAACACAAGGAAATCCATACCTCCATTTAAATCTCCTGCAATTACTTCTGAAACTGCAAATGAGAGAAATTTCAAAGAGTCTCCTCCTGTTAAGGGTCCACAAGAGAGACATGGTTCAGAAGAGAAAGAATTTCCGGTTTGTGAACAAGTAAATATTTCCCTGAAAGAAAAGCTTTCGTAGAATCATAGAATTATAGGGGTTGGAATGGACCTTACAGATCATCTAGTCCCAACCGCCTGCCGTGGGCAGGGACCCCTACTCAC